CAGTATAAATAAGTAATTGATATGAACACGATTAATATCATCAATATACTATTAACAATTAATATCTCTATAAATATATCCACTACAACTCAACTCTCCATTATTTATTCAGGTCAGTCCTTCGACATGCTATCAGAGAATTAAACCTTATTTCTTGTAACAATACATATTAAATTTTCAGGTATTTATCACTTATCATACGACCATGACTATATTTTAGTATATGGATATTCTTTTTATTATATATCAGCAATAATTAATGGAATATAAATAAGATTGATTGTATATCTTCAATAATTAGTATCAATAATAATATATCAGTATATCAATAATATCAATAGTAATATATCAATAATAATTAAAACTGCATCAATAATATTGGATTAATAATATTGGAATATTTTTGTAATAATATTGGATTATTAATTAAAACGAATTTATCAGTGATATTATTTTATTGTGTTGTTGAATATTAATTGAGCTATCATGTGCACATGACTAGTAGTTTGTTGTTATGTTATTATGCTGCTGAATAAATAAATGTTTATGAATTGAGAATGTCATTCACTTAATATAAAGTATCATGTCTTTATGATATACCTGATATCTCAGTTAACTTTTAAGATTTTATATTCAGGTTTTCAGCTTTAGCATTACTATGCATCATAATATCCATATTATTATCCATCAAAATATTATAACTAAATTGTTATTACGATGGATATTACTGGTACGGTATGATAGAATGAATATGATTATTTGGTGGATATGAACATGGTGAATATCATCAATATAATATTTACATTTGATATCTCTGCATAGATATTTCAATTAGAATTCAACTCTTCGTTATTTATTCAGGTTAGTTCTTAGATATGCTATCAGAGAATTACACGTTAGTTCTTGTAAGAATACTTATTGAAGTTTGAGGTATTTATTTGGTAGATGTGTTTGGATAATGCTCATCTTATCGGTCATTGCATTATATGAATAATGAATATCTGATGACTTCATAAAAATATATGTCAGAATATGATTACTGAGTGCAGTTTTTACGCCGAAACGCTTGCTCATTAATGATTAAGGTGAGAGATGTAAGAAATTTTTGCTTTTCGTTTAATTAAACTTTCAGTTGAAGAGAAAAAAGTGAAATGTTTACTTCACTTATGAGGAGGATTATTTGATTGAATGTTTGAATTGCGGTGTGATAGAAGAATGTTGTTTTTAAGAATCTTTCTGAAGAATCAATTGTTTTGCTCTTCTCTAATTATTTCTTTCATCAAAAAATGGCTACTAGCTATTTTTTACAAAAAAAATTGCCAATTTACTTACTCTAGCGATAGATGATGTGTTGATTGCATGCGTTGATCGCGTTAACGTTGGTTGTTCATCATGCAATGGCTCGGTTCGTTGTCTATAATATGAACTGTTGTTGTTGTTGTTGTGACGATCGATCGCTAACTTTACTATAGAATTACTTCATTCACTACACTACAATAGAATACTACTTTATTGGTACAATCGAAAAAATTTTTGATTTTGTGTGGTTGTTATGATGCATATATAGCAGCAGCAACAATGTAGATTACTGATTGATACGCTCGTATTCTTAATATAGCTTAGATTAGGTAGAACTTGAGCGAATTTAGAGCGATACGGCAGGGGTTGTGTACTGAGTACAAAACGAAGAAATTACTAGTTATAAAGTTATCTTGCTATCTTACTATCTCCTGCTATAAAGTTATCTTGACTCTCAGTGCTATCTTCTTGTTTTGGTTTTTTTTTGAAGAAGTTACTTACTATTAATGTTATTGTTATTGCTATTATTATTATTGAAATCACTATCATTATTTATGGTAATTATTGTAATCGTTGGAATAATTTTAGTGTCATTATTTTTATTGTTATTATTGTTATTGTTAGTGATGAGAATTTTTTTCAAGGTATTCTCATTAGTATGATAAAATTAGGTAATTGTTGAGAGATGGACAGGCAAAATAGGAGTGGAGAGTGGTGAAAGAAGAGGAGAGGGCGCTTAGGGAAGGAATTTGAAATATATTCGGCAGAAGGTCATTAGGTCGATCTGTCACCAGTTTGCGACGGGTTAGTGAGAGAAAGGACTGACTGGCTGCAGTAGCAGCAGCAGCAGCAGCAGATCGGAGTGCAAATATCTATCATCTGATCGCTCGTTTATCTCTCTCCATTTAATTATTTATCAACTAATTAATCTAAGAAATATTACATCGCCACCATTTTGTCTTGAATCCAACCGAACCAACCATCAAACACACTATACGAGCACAGTACAGTGCACGGCGAGCGCTCAGCCGACTGCGCTCATATGCCGATGATCAGTATATATGCTCTTATTTATTTATGGAATCTGCAACAATCATTATTGCACCTATTGTCTTCTATCTGTTTACTATCGTTTTATCATTTAATTTGATTCATTCAAAAAAATATTTACGGTATATTTGATTGCGATTGCGATAATAATATTTTGATAATAGTAATTAACTGTAATATGAGGATTAACAGTAACAATTGAAGATCATCTGCGCGTTCTTAGTATGACATAGAGCAAGCAGTTAATAGTGAAACACCTTGGCTAGATTAGAGAAGGTATTTATGAGAAGATTTTGATATTATCTATCGTATAAGAGCGGATATAAGGTGATAGCACATCATCGGGTAATAGAATTGAGGTGAGGTGGTTTTGAGTGAAAATTTGACTGAGCGATTGATTTAAAAATGGTTTCGCGACTTTTTCGTATTCATGTAAAGTTGACGTAATTTGTCTTGGTTGGTATCGTTATGCTTATTGAATAGTGCTTGAGGAATGTCTGAAGTGATCGTTAGATATGATAATGATACATATGATGATCTTATTAGAATATTTCTTTATCATACAGAAATATTATTGAATAATTGATGAGCGAATGAATGAGGAGTGCACAATTGGAATGGAAGTGGAAGTGAAATTGACTTGTTCCTTTCAGTGAGCACTCCATTAGTGCTGGTTATTAGTGCTCATTAATTAATTAATGAAGCACTAAGTGCGTTCTTCAAAGTAGCAACGTTGATCGCTCGCTTGTGCCTTTCATGAGTGCCTTATTTATTCCATATGAATAGAATAGAACATTTATAATTGGTATACAGAAAAAAGTTATGGACTTATTGGCTGCGTCGGTTATGATGAGACTAAATGGATTGATTGATAATTTGCTTGTGATATTAGTTTGTTTTAAGAGTATTGTTATGGTCAGTGGGTGTGAATAGTGATTGTGTGCTTATTGAATAGAATATTTAGGTGATCGGTGGCGATTTTAGAATACGGCGGCGAAGAATTTTGCTTGAGTAGCGGAGGTGAATGTTGTTATTAGTTGGATGGATGGATGGATGACCTTTGAAACGTTTAATGAATTTGCGAATTAATTATCGTGATTGTGATCGTGATTTGTCGTTTAGGTTTATGTGATCTTTAATATAGCAGCAGCAGCAGTTATTATTAGAGTTAGTTGCTAGTGATAATTGTTTGATGATTTAGAGCAAGGAGACGAGGTGTTCAACTACAGGCAGATAGCAGCTAGTTGAGTGATTGTTGATTGATTGATTGATTGATTGATTGATAAGGACGAACCTGAGCTCAAGCAGTGCTTCTTAAATGGAAGATCATAACTTTGAAAAGGTGAGTGAAAGCGATTTGTTTCATTGCTTTATGTCATGTTATTGTTACTGTTGTTATATTACCTGGATTGAGCTCATGTTGTTATATTACCTGTTATATTGTTATATTACCTGTTGTATTGTTATATTACCTGGACTGTTGTTATATAATCGGTTCTATTAGCATATATGCAAATTGTTTAGTGTTTATTCATTTGTAATGAGTCGATTAGATTGCATTCGTAGTCAGTGATGGGGTAATAAATTAGGGAGAGAGTTCACATGGGACTGATTTGTTCATTTGTGATTGATTTGTTTCATTGTTTGAGGTCATTTAGAGAATGAATTTTATGAAATTTTACCAAACAAGTATTTTGTGATCATATGAGTGATTTTATATACATACATATATACATTTTATTTGTATGTGTGTGTGTGTATGTACGTATAATAGTGAAAGGTGAAATAGTTAATAAATGAGTAATGATTTATGGGTTAGATTAAGATGTCATGTATCATATCATATCATATCCTATCAATTTATATGAAACAGATATAGCGATACGTAATCACTATAGTAATATGAGAATTAAAATGACTGAAGGAATGTACTGAGTATGATGAAGGGAATGAAAATTGAGTGAGTTTATTTGAATGATCCATTGATGATGATCACTTGTTGGTGATCGTAATCTGCTTTGAATCGATTTTGAAATTGAGCAGTTTAATAAGAATAAGGGAATATGGATGGATTGATTGGTTAAGTATTTGATATGTTGATTGGATTGATTGTGTGTTGAGATGAGGAGATAAGCTTGTTAGAGCAACTTTATACGATAATTACATTTGGAGAGATCAATTGAAGTGTGTTTAGGCTTTAAGTTCTTATGGGTAATAGTGATTGATGCTGGCCAGTTGACTATTTATCTGAATGATGGTGTATAGGTAGGTGATAAGGTACTAGATATGAATGTAATTGGTTGATATGAATTTTTGAGAATATCTATAGATGATGGAGGGGAGGGGGTAATGAATTGCAGAAGAAGGAAATTTAAAGGAATAGGTTAATGATAACATGTAAGACAATAACCACGGCAGCAGGAGGCAGTGTTCACAAGGTAAGGTCGATCGCTCGCTCGCTCATAACAGTTTAGAAGGTCATTACGGCACGGAGTGAATATCGTGTACGTTCAAGAGCATGCATGCATGCATGTGCATTTACCTGTACAGGTGCATGTGCATGTGCAGGTACATGTATATGCGTTTCATTTAGTTGAGTCTTAATTGAATTGAGATGAAATCATATCATATAGCAGCAGCAACATTTAATATGATTGTTGTTAATGTGATAGGATGTGTAATGAATGAATAGGTGCAGCAGTAAAGGTAGAAGAGATACATTTTAGATCTTCTAGTGAATCGGGTCGGGAATGAAACGGGTTTGACTGCAATTACTTGATGATAGTGGTGGTGGGTGTGCTGTGGTGTGTGATATTTGATGATGTAAATACTACTACATATGTAAAATATTTAAATATCTTACTATTAATGAATGATTAAGTAAGAAACACGTGTAAAAGGTAGACATGCAAAAAATAGAATTCATTGAATCAATAAATAAATGCGGAGCGACGATATTCCAACAAAAAAAGAGAGCATTCAAAGGAACGCGGAACAATGGCAAGGAATATAACTGTGCAAAGGGAATAGCAATGGGAATGAAATGAAGTGGATATTGAGGATATCCAAGTGATAGCAATTACTGGATTAATGAGAATGATCATGTAACATTTTAGAATCAGGCAGTATGGCTAAGCACTGGCAATGGCTATTCAGTACCGGCAGTTGTGGTTGAAAGTGAACCAGTAATGATTCGCTTACTGCAATCGGTAATTTTTTTATGTTGCCGATGCTTTTTAGTCTTAATTAATTGGGCTGGGCATATTGAATTATTTATTGCTCGAAGCAATAATTGTGTTTGCTTTACATGCATCATGCGTTCACAACACATACACTCCTATGTATGTATCGGAATTTACCCGACTAATGGGTGGTCTGGTGTGTATTGCGGATGGTTTTAATTCTGGATATTTTGGTTTGTATTCGATGTGAAGTGAAAAGAAAATTTTATCTATTCCCAAATTAAATCTCATTTAAAAATATTATTCTGTTTATGTGTGTGTGTTTTGATTGGTTGGAATGCAAAGTAGAAAGTAATTTGAATAATTGTTGTGTGCATAATGCAGAATCATGTAATGCAAATTGATAATGTGGCTCGATTATGCGCACGTAAGAAGTTCAATGTTAATGTGGAGGATCTTGTGGAGATTTGGTGAGTGCTTGTGTTTTGAGCTTTTTGGATTTTTTTGTTGCTTCGATTGGAACGTTTATTATACGTTGATTACCCATTATTATCCATTATCCGTTACCCAGTACTCATTATCATTACCCATTTTCATGACCCGTTACCATTACCATTTACCATTACCCAGTACCATTACCCATTTTCATTACCCATTACCCATTACCATTACCCATTTAATTACCCATTACCCATTTAATTACCCATTACCATTACCCATTTTCATTAAATGGCGAATGATGAGTTTCAGTGATAACTGTGAATCAGCATTATTATACTCACTGCAGAAACGTTTCGAGAATAAACGAATCTACGTAAGTTAGTTCTGATAGTAGTAATAGTAATTGTTAATGCGCTTTAAAATGAAGAGAATTATTTTTTAGTTTTTTTGGTTGGTTGTTTGCTTGGTGAAGGAGTGATTTGAGATGAATTTCAGACAAAAGCTGGTGATGTGATGATAGCACTGAATCCATATGAGCATTTATCGATATACGACGATTCTGTGATCAGTTTATATCGCGATCAGCAGATCAACGCATTGCCTGCGTTCGTTTCATTGCCTGCATTTATTCCTTGATCACATAGTGCTGCTGCTTGATCACAAATGATCACTGCTCCATGGATTGTTGGATAGATGATAAAGCAGCTTGATTTTCAGGCATATATTCTCGATTGCTGAACGAGCTGTATGCAATGCAAAGAATAGATCCAAGAACGAAATGATCTGCTTTAGGTAAGAGCAAAGAAGAGAGTTTTGAGTGCTTAAGGTGGTCGTCTATATAAGGAATTGCCGGGGTGATAGCAGTGATATTTATTGAATGATAGAGCAGTTAATGAGACGAGAAAGAGTGAACTGAATAATTTTAGCGGTGAATCAGGCTCAGGCAAAACTGAGAATCTGTTGCAAGCAGCACGGTATATTGTGAAGGCGAGTAAGAAGCGGACGATTACACCGGAACAAGTAAAAAAATAAATTATTATTATTATTATTGTTGTGGTTATTTTGAAAATATTTTTAGCAATATAATTTGTGTAATATGAGTAACATTCATGTTGT